TTTTTTGTTGTTGTGTTTTTCCTCCAGATAAAATGCCCAGTTTCCTATCACCACACCATTTAAAAGGATGAGGGGATAAACCATGTGAAGTATGTTTCAAAAGCAAAACAAAATGAAGACTTCTTTCTGAGTTCTGCTTTTCTAATATTTAATAGGAAAATCTTCAGAATCAGTATATGGGAAACTATGTTTCGCATCATAACTAAGTGACAATACTTACTAATCCAAAACAAAAACAGCATTATTTCTTGATCCTTTCCACTTAAAGATATGTTTATTCACATTTAATAGTAAAGGTGTAAGTAATTATAAAGTTATTAGGCTTTGATTTGTCTCCGCTCTTCTCCACTGCAGGCAAATACTGTTAACAGAAAAAAACACACTGGTATAGTTGATTGGTAATTTCCTTGCAGCGCCTTACCAAAAAATCTTAACATTATTTTTTAATAACTTCGGGTCTATTCATAAGACAGTGCAGTATCCCTCTTCAAAACACAGACACACACACAAGACAGTGCATTATCCCTCTTCAAAACACACACACACACACACACACACACGTGCACGCGCGTGCACCCACACAAAGCCAACTATCACCTTGAATAGTAATCCAAGTATTCTGCTTTGCAAAAACAAATGACTCATTTAGACTGAAGCAACAAGGCTTCCTTTGAGACACTCATTGATTTTAAATTAAAAAAATAACTGCTATGTTTTACATTAGGAGTGACAACAAATAACAGAGTAGACCTTACTCAGTAGCAACTTCATTGCACCTGTCTGAAGGAAAAGGGGGATGGACAAGCCTGAATGGGGTAATCTTACTGATCAATAATCCAGATCTCAGAATGCGCTGTAGCAGATAGTCAATTCCTGATAGAATTACTGAAATGCAGCTGGCTGTTTTCTTATGGCTCAGGTCTTTGGGTTCAATGTACTGACTTTATTAACTTGAACTTTATTCTCCTTGAATGTTCGTCTGTCTCTTTTCCTTTATGCGGCTCTGCTGGGAGTGGAGGAGGGGAGTTGAGTGAAGATGTTATATTCCATTTATTCTGTAAAGATGCCTGAAAGGGAATTTTTGGTCCAGCAGATGAGAAAAGAGGTTTAAAAGAGGGATTGTTCCTGAGATTTGTTTTTCACCGTGTTTGTAAACAGGCCTTCCTAATAAGTCTTAATAGTATTGAAAAAAAAAAAAAGTCTTAAAGGCAATATTGACTTTGGAGAATTATTTTTCAAGCAATGAGAAGACTCTGATTACATGCCATTAGTACCAGAACAGTGGAAGTGGAAGCCAGCAATGTTAATAGTCACAGTGGGTACTTACGATGTGTCAAACCCTCACATATTTCTTCGAATTATTTCCAAAAATGTATTTCTTAAGAAGGACCCTCCTGACTAATTTTTTTTTTTTTTAACCTTAGTTTGAGCTTTAAATGTGTCTGAAAGTAATAAAACCTGGCATTGGGTTTTTTTGGGTTTTTGTTTTGTTTTTTCATTTTTTTTTTTTAAATAATCCAGAATCAGGACTTTTCATGGGCTGCCTGCCCACTTCCTCTCTCAGATAGACCAACACAAAGAAGTTCCATGATACGGCAGCATCGTGTTATTCTCAACCATGACAGAGAGGAGTGACGGGAAGTAGTATGTGTCTGGATTTTGCAAACCTAGTTGCCCTGCATCTCATCAGTTTCAGCCCTGGCAAACCGTGCTCTACCGGTGTCCCAGGATTCTAACCTGCCCAACCGTCTCTCCTGCCTAATGATCGTTAATGACTCCATGTCAGCTATGAAATCCAGACACCTTCGTGGCCATATGTGACATATATGGCCCGTAATCCAGCCCCAGCATTCTTCTTCCTTCAAATTATATAGTTCCTTCTCGAAAGATTTTTCCCCAGACATCTCAGACCAGAACAAACTCTTTATTGTTTAAAATACTTTCAGCAAAGGGATGCCTGGCTAGCTCAGTCAGTAGTAGAGCATGAGACTCTTGATCTCGGGGTTGTGAGTTCAAGCCCCATGTTGGGTATAGAGATTACTTAAAAATAAAAAAAAAATAAAATAAACACTTTGAGCAACAGGTATAGAAGACCTAACCAACAATGGCTTAAACTAAGGATATTTATTATATTTCAACAAGAGGATCAGAAGTAGATGGTCCATGGGTTGGTGTTTACAGTTCAATAACAAAAGGGCCATGTCTCAGAATTCAGATTCCCACTTTATTTCCATTTCCAGAATGTTCCCTTCCCCTCCTCCTCAGCTATTGCTGATATCTGAGCCTGTCTGGTATACCCTCTACAGAGTCAATGTTGCTGCAGTCTTTTGCTAGGAGAGGTTTCCAGAGGGATCACAGATGTCACAGGATAATATTGTACAAAAAGGTAAAATCATGACTCTGTCACGGGTATAAAATGAGTAGGTGTTTGAGATACTATTTAACTCATGAGTTAATGAGGGAACCAAGCAGATCTTTTAAGGAGTTCAAAGAAGGAGTCAAAGAAACTGATTTATAAGGAGTAGGGAGTGTAGATGTGAATGGGCAGATGAATGCAGAATTGACTTCTCCACAGGAGGGAAGATTGTCCTTCCTCGGGACAATTCATTTGTATTTCTATAGACAGGAATTATTTCCCATTACTCTCAGGCATCCATAACTTCAAGTTGTTGTAAACTAGCTTCCATAGAATCAGAGTCTGATAACAAGAAGAATATGCTCTAAAAGTGTAGTTTTCCACTAAGGCACAAATATTTCCCTACAGAAGAAAAAAGGTATATTCAGCACAACATGTTTCAAATTGTTATAAGGCCTCAATAATATAATCTCTAGTGATAGCCAATAAAATTGGTGTTGCCCACCACTACCACCACTGTCCCTGAGTATTTCATGCATTCATGACTTAATCTCCCCACTGAGACTGTAAATTCCTCCAATAATAGGAAGTGAACATTCCATGTCCTTTGTATCTTCCATCTCTTCTTTCCTACTCTCTTCACTGTCACCGCCTCTGTGGGATCTGATGCTAAGTCAGAATAGATACTAATAAATGCTTGCTGAATAAGTGAATTCTTTGATTTTGTATAAAAATGATGTGTCTTCTTTGATATTACTGTAGTTTTTTAAAATAATCTAATAGTTTTAAAAAAGTAAATGGGATCATAACCATTCTTTCTTTCTTTCTTTCTTTCTTTCTTTCTTTCTTTCTTTCTTTTGGCATTGGAGCCAGGACCACACCTCAAAACCCAGACAGTTTTGCATGTCTAAAAAGATTTTGATGTTTGTGTGTGTGTGTGTGTGTGTGTGTGTGTGTATTTCTGCAAAGCTAGTCACTACCTGAATGAACTAATTTTTTAAAATATTTTAGTAAGTGTATATATTTATTCTCTAACAGAAATAGTATGCACTCAATACAAAAGGAAGAGAAAACTAGACAAATTGTCTGTTGCTATTACCTATATTGATAGATTTTCACAGTGTTTTTATTTGATTGTGGATCAGCCAGATCATTATTGTACTGTACTTTGTGCCTTATAGGTAGAAACTATAAGTAAATTTTACTTCCCAGTAAAATCAGTGCCCACTTTTTCATTATATTTAAACACCTGAGAATATGTGTATAAATATATATCTTGGTTTTTACCTGAATCAGTTTTTTCCTTTTAAATTTTTCTCTAATAATCTGGGTGCGTAGGGGAGAAAATAATTTTTCTCTGTCTTTCAAGATTCTTCTAGCTGGATTAAGAATCAAACTGACAGATGAACAGGAGGAAATCAAATTAAATTCTGTACATACAGGGAACCCACACAAACATGAGATTCTAAAGACAATGAGGCAAAAGGAGGTATATATGTCATCCTGAACTAAGGAGAAGGGAAATAGGAGTCTGGAACTTAAAGGGAAGGAAGTTCCCTTTAAGTTCATGAGAAGATGAAAAGGAACACATGTTTGGCGAACAAAGTTTGTTGGTCTTTTCAGAAATAACTGGATATAGAGAAGACTGATCCAACAGGCCTTGCTAGGTTAAATATGAAACGTCAGGATACTACCAGATATCTCTGTGAATTACTAAAGGAACATGTACTATAATAAACATGCATCATTTATTTCTGCTTCGTGATCCCCAGATACTATCCCAACCCCACATCAGGGATTATGATCCAGGAAATGAACAGAGTCTTTTTATAGCTTGAAACATTTGAAGACTTTTAAATCCTTTCCATCTTTGTATGATTTTTTTTTTTATTTCCAATTGGGCCATTTCTAATTTTTCCAAAACTTTTTAATTTAGGAGTCCATGATTAGGCAAAATAATCCAATTCTAACTAACTTCAAGAATAGCAGAAAGTCTGCTTCTCAGTTCTTATATATCGTGTCTTTATAAATACAATCCAGTATCATGTTGGCATATTTAGGGGAAGAAGACCAGCATTAACACATTCAAAATTATGCTTCCTCACCTAGCTAATAAACAATTAACTAAAGAATTCTAATCATACGAATTATGAGAGAGAACATCACTATTTCCTTCTGTCTGCTTAAAATGTTTTAAGAAAATTCACTGCCGCATAATATCCTAAAAGAAATTGATCATACTTTTCCTGTAATAAATGTTGCTCTGACAGTAAAGCATTAGTAACCAATTGATAACCTAGCAACAATATTGTGATCTCTTTAGATAATTAATCTTAGCTATTTTCCTGTCAGAAGCAACAGTGCTTGATTTTATGTTGAGCTAGAAAGATTGCCAGTTTTGAAAATTAAAAAGCATTCCTTTTATATTATTCATTCCAGTAACAATTTATGATGGCGCATTTAGCTGCTGAACGCTTGTCAACAAACGTAATTATGTTTCGATATAAACAAGATTGGTGGTTTTACTATGCTGCTCCATCTTTGTTGAGAATGTTTTGATTTAGGTTCAGATTATACAAGCTGTGTATTTATGTGTCATTTTTTTCCTCCTTTGTTAATAGTTTTTTCTGATAATTACTTGTAGGCAAACAAGCATGCATTTAGGATCCTTATGCACAGGAGATATCAAACGGAGAAGAAAAGCTGCACCTTTGCCTGGACCTACTACAGCAGGTAAAGCAAAGAGGGGTTGGGCCAGAACACAAATATAAAGTTCATAAATCATCAACAGGAAAATACAGATAATTCTAAATCACTTACACTGAAGAAGAGGCACAGTTTACAAGCAACTATTAAATCATTTGCATTTGGTGTCAGGATATATTGCACGTTCCTTGTTTAGATTTTTCAGGCAGCCAATCAATAAAATATTTGCTATACACCTACCCGAATGCGAGACTCTATGTGAGGTATTAAAAGGATACAAAACTTCAAAAGCTGTTTCTTTGGCCTTCGGAAACTTATAGACTGGTTGGGACAACAAAGCATAAGTAGAAGAAAAGGCAAATAACTCCAGAAGAAATTAATAGTAAGCAGCCTCAAAACACAAAGCCCCATATTATGGAAGATGGAAAGGTAACCATGAATGCATCAGTCTGGTTTCTAGTCCCAGCTCTGCAACAGTCCTAGATTCGTCTTTCCATATTTAAACATGGGTGCCTGGCTGGCTCTGTCAGTAGAGCAGGCAACTCTTGATCTCAGGGAGGTGAGTTCAAGCCCCATATTGGGCATGGAGCCTACTTAAAAAACAAAAGAAAACAAACAAACAAAAACTGCATTAGAATATAAAGTCTCTCATTATTTCATTATTTCCACCTCAAAAATCACATCCTTCTAATAATATTCCATTCTAATGAGTGTGGAATAGGGGAAACCACAAGTGCTGAGCAGAGAGAAGTCACTAGACCAGAGGGGTCAGGAAGCCTTAGTAAGAAGGGCAAAGGCCCAAGCTTAGTAGTGAAGGACATGAATAACAGCATGTTTAACAAAATCTCATGCAAGAGCAATGATAAGGAAGGCAGAGATAAAAACCAGTGAAAGGAGGAAGCCAACTGGGCATTAAAATGTAGAAACCCACCTAAGAATAAGGATTTGTGATGCAGCAAACTGACTCTAAGAAATGTTTTCAGTGTAGATACTTGGTCAGTTACAAAGAATAATAGCCTTGGCCTATTGCCTGGGATCCTTTAACCATTCACATTTATAAACTTGAACTTCATTTGGGAAGCACTTTATAAAACCATTCACATTTATAAACTTGAACTTCATTTGGGAAGCACTTTATAGGAAAAGTTATTTTTTCCATGATGATTTATAGAATATGAAAATAATATCCATGTCAACCAGGAGAATAAACGATGAGAAGGAGGGAAGAAATCTTGACATGGTGATTACAAAGAAATAAAAGATGTAAAGCTTTAATTCTCTATTTAGGAGATCTGTCCTATAGTTCAGTACTAAAAAATTGAATGACTTAAAATTGGAGCAGTTGTTCCATCTAAATATAAAATTAGAAATTATGCATGTGATTATGAGTAAATATAATACTGATCATCATCTTATAGCTATATGGAATTTTCAGAATTTGGAAGTAAGAAACACGTGTGTGGAATGTGTATTTATGTAGAATAATATTTACCACTTACTGGGTGCCTACTATGTAACAGAAAGTTTGTTATTTCATTTTATCTTTGTAACAGCTTTATGAGCTAGGTGGTATTAACGTCACTTTACACCGTAAAATTAAGATTCAGAGAAGTGATAGGTTTTTCTTCGTTCCCTAAGAAGATAGTAATTATTGAATGGCAAAGGAAGGTTTCAAGCCTCCATCTCCCTGCATGACTCCTAAATCCCTGTTTTTTCTATGACAACATATGGCCTTTTTGTAAGAATATATTTTAAAGACTGTTCTATTGCATATGTTTATTTGAACCTGCTATTATATCTTAAGTTTCATAGAAGAGTTACCTAAATATTGCTAGGTAGAGATGCAGAACATTCATGAGAATACTTCTAATATATCTTTCCACAGGAACATATAGCCACTTTTAGATCAAATACATGTCATAAGTTCTTCAGTTCAAATCTTTCATAAGGCAGGTGTAGGATTCTTTAATATCCCCATTCCAGTTGAATGGTCCCCTGAATTCTCTTATCTTTCAATGATTCAAACATTAGTGGCAGAAATAGTACAAGAATAATCTTAGGGATGGAACTAAAGCACCTTAGTGCCGGCAGTAAGGAAGAGAGAATATCAGGGTCAGGTTCTAACACTCTGAACATATGTGAAGTGAGAAGGAAAATGCTTAATGGTTGAGGAGAGGATAATATAATTATTTCTACAAGGTGATTTTGACGTTACAACTCAGTAGCATCAGAGGAAATCATTTATATGGAGTATGGGTATAAACATTAAAATTTAGCCTAAAACATTCATACGCTTATACCAGCATATTCCAAACGTTGTATTTCAGAACTGTTGTGATTCTCTTAAGAGTCGGGATTTTGGTTATGTTACCAGATTTTTTTTTTCTTTTTTGCTTAAAGAATAAAATGCATAGAAATTTAATGCATTTTTGTAATTACTCACAGTAGTGGAGTAAGAGAATTATGTTACTCATTTCCAATGCATTTTTTAAATCCATGCATAACTGTTCCTCTCAAAGAGGTAGAGAATGAGGTTATTTAAAAGTCCTCAGTTTTAAAAAGAATATCTTCTAATACTAATAAATCAACTCTGAGGTGAAGATTATTATCCAAATTCAAGTAAGAAATGCTTTTGCATAAATACACTTTGATAATGAGGTTATGAATCCTTGATCATCTTGTCTCTGAAAATTATAATTTTCCAATTCTGGAGTATATTCAGCCTTATAAGAGTCAATTATATTTAAGCTTCCAGAGTTGAGTTAGCATGTAGAAGTATTTCAAAGTGAATATTCTCCCCATTTTATAGGCCCTCGCAGACCTCCCAAAAAACGCATTGAATTGAGATATGTTTTCACACATCCTTTTGCCTTTAGTCAGCATTCCGTCTAACTAGGGAAAATGCAGGTAAGATAACTATGTCTCATTTGAAATAGGGGATAAGAGTTAAAAGGCAAACAGCTCAAATATTATGTATTGATCCCTCTGATTTATATGTGAAAAGTTACACAGTTAAACAGCAGGTTTAGAAAACATTTACCAAAACACTGTCAGAAAACTGTAATTTGATGCTCTTAACTTCGTAATCCTGAACAGGGTTTATACAACAATTTAAGACTCTAAGAATAAACAGTTACATATTGTATACATAATAAATACTTTTTAAAAGTCACCTATGAAATTAGTAACCCAAAATCTGATCTTTACCTGCTAGTGTGTTGAGAATTTTATTCACCCTGTGTTAGCAGTAGCACTGAGGCATAATGTCATTTGCTTTGTAAGGCTCTAGACTAGCCAGCAGTGTTATCGGTTGAACATTTATTAATAGTGACAGGAACACCGAATTTATTTCAGTGCTTTAGCTTATTTACTGCTCTTTCACCTTTGTATTTTGTATTGACAAAAGAAAATGAATATTGATAAGGTTAGTTATTGATTTTTAAATGTATGGCTTCTTCTCTGCCTCATTCAAAGTCACAAACCAAAAGACAGTAGGTGTCTCAGTAGCAAAGGATGTAGATTGACTATTATAAAATTGAGAACTGTTGAAGCAGGAAGGTTTGCCAGCAGAATGCATTTTATAGTTTGAAAAATGTCATCTGTAAAGGTGAAGAAAAGCAGCGAACAAAATAGGAAGGATATTATTAACACATTCTTAAAAGCCAGTCAGCAGTGTTGGTTATGGTCTGTGTTTTTGGTCGAGGTCTTAGCTTATTAAGGATCTGATAGTGAAAAGATGTGAGTATGCTTTTTGAAATATGGAGGCTACCTCAGTATTAAATGTGTTGTTATCCACAATTAGTATTTGCTGTTACGATTTTGCTTTCTGTTGAACTGATACCCTAGGGAAAATATAATATAAAGGTGGACTTTATATTATAAATATAATAAAAAGGTGGACTCCCTATGATAGTCATCATAGGGAGTCCACCTTTTTCCCATGCATTTATTTATATTATGTGAAGAGATGCCTAGCAAAGTTCAATTTCTTGGTATAGATATTGGTTCAGGCTGCACTGTCACGGATATGCAAGATCTTGGCAAGAGGTTGCTTTACAGCTTTTTTGTGACTTTTGGACTTCTTCCTCAGCATCCTACTGATATTTCAATAATAAAATAATCTCCATGAATACTTAAGGCAATAAAGGCAACTTGTAAATCGTAATAATGAAGATTTTTTTTAAAGTGTGCTTTTAATTAAAAGTCATACTAATCATAATCAGGAAATGGTCAGTATAGCCAATTGCCCTTCCAAGGTGCTATATCTCTTCAGTTGTCCAAAATTTATTTATCAATAATTATGTTTTTATTTTCTTTTACCACTGGATCTATATGACCATTCTAGATTATCTTATCTCTCCCAGGATTTTAAAATGGGCACTTTGGGGAGAGATGGTTGGTATTAATTTTGAAACCAAACTACACTTGAACCTGTAAGCAAAAGCCTAAGAAACATATCACCTTCATCCTCTTGATATATGCACCACCAAACTGCCTTTCAGTTTGGTGTTTCAGGAGAGTTTCAGACAGCTCTCCATTACCATTTGGTACAAAGAACACTTAAGGAGAGGGTAAACATCCACATTAGATTGAAAATAATCACGTTCCTGACAATACAAAAGCCTAAATAATGAGAAAGTATACAAACTACAGAACAGCTGGCCATGCTGAACAAAATATGAAGTCATCTCTTTAAATGCATAGATGAGACTGAAGGAAGGAAATTGTTCAAAACCAGGAATGGTCCTTAGCAGCCCCCATGTCCATGCCCAGTTTTGCCAATCTAGGAAATCCTGAGGTAGTTTGGTTAGTGCCCCTGTAGGAAGGGAGCTAAGCTGAGGAGGTGGGTATAAGGATCCTATCAAGCCAGAACCTCTGGAAAGCTCTATCCTTAGAAGAGGGCAGACTAGAAACAAAACTTACCCACAGGCACAGGAAAATAAAGAATCTCATTTATACCCAAGCTCCAAGTAGAAGAATCTGAAGATATGTAACCAAGAGCCTACCTCATATGAGTTTCTGGTTTA